TTGAGCAGGAATCGAACCCGGGACCCTCTGGTCTGCAGGCCGACGCTCTACCCACTGAGCAGCACCGGCCGGGGCCAGGCACATCGCTTCGGGTCTGCGTCCAAGTCCCTGGGAGGCCCCCCGGGTGTTGCTGCAGGAACAGAGGAAGCAGGAATTCCGGGCGCCTGGCGTGAGCATGACTCATCTTTTCCCAGCATCCCCTGCTCGGGAATGTCAGGGGCGGCCGCTCCCTCCGTCCGCACCGGACGATGAACACTGCGGGGCCCCGGCCGGTGTGGCTCAGTGGGTAGAGCGCCGGCCTGCGGGCCGAAGGGTCCCGGGTTCGATTCCCGGTCAAGGGCACAGGCCCCGGGTTGTGGGTTCGACCCCCAGTAGTGGGCGTGCAGGAGGCAGCCGGTCCCTGATTCTCTCTCATCGTGGATGTTTCTATGTCTCTCCTTCTCCCTCTCCCTTCCTCTCTGAAATCAATACAAATAAATTTTAAAAAAAAATACACAAAAAAAAAAAGGGCCCTCGCCGGTGTGGCTCAGTGGGTAGAGCGCCGGCCTGCGGACGGAAGGGTCCCGGGTTCGATTCCCGGCCAAGGGCAGGTACCTGGGTTGCGGGCGCATCCCCAGTGGGGGGCGTGCAGGAGGCGGCTGATCGATGATTCTCTCTCATCATCGATGTTTCTAACTCTCTGTCCCTCTCCCTTCCTCTCTGCAAAAAACGAATAAAATATATATTTTTTTAAAAAATCGACAAACGACAAGTGCTGGCGAGGATGCGGAGAGAAGGGAACCCTTGTTTGCTGCTGGCGGGAAGGCCGATGGGAGCAGCCACCCTCGAGAACAGGATGGCGTTTCCCCAAATAATTAAACACGGATCTGCCATTGGACCCAGGGACCCCACTTCTAGGGAATAGATCCCCAGAAACCAGAAACACCCATCAGAAAAGGCATGGGCTCCCCTATGTCCATCGCAGCGCCATTGACAATCGCTAAGATCTGGAAACAGCCCAGCTGCCCATTGGCCCCACGAGTGGATTAAAAAACAGCTGAGGTCCACGGACACCGTGGAATACTATGCAGCCCTGAAAAAGGTAGGGCCTCTTACCCTTTGAGACCGCACGGAGGGACCTGGAGAGCAGGATGCTGAGAGACATAGGCCGGCCGGCCGGAGAGAGACACGGATCCCCTGATCTCTCTCATGGAGCCCTGGCCGGTGTGGCTCAGTGGGTAGAGCGTCGGCCTGCGGACGGAAGGGTCCCGGGTTCGATTCCCGGTCAAGGGCATGGGCCTGGGTTGCGGGCACATCCCCAGTGGGGGGCGTGCAGGAGGCGGCTGATCGATGCTTCTCTCTCATCGATGTGTCTAACTCTCTATCCCTCTCTTTTTCTCTATAAAAAAAAATCGATAAAAATATATATATTTAAAAAAAAACAGACTCATCGATACAGAGAACAGAGGGGCAGCGGGCAGAGGCGAGGCAGGCAGTCCGCTGGACACATTGATTGATTTTTAAATATATTTGTTATTGATTTCAGAGAGAGGAAGGGAGAGGGAGAGAGACATTAAAGATGAGAGAGAATCACGGACCGGCCGCCCCCTGCACGCCCCCTGCTGGGGATCGAGCCCACAACCCGGGCATGTGCCCTTGACCGGGAATCGAACCCGGGACCCTTCAGTCCGCAGGCCGACGCTCTACCCACTGAGCCACACCGGCCGGGGCCCCATTCTCCCCTTGAACGCGGCCCACCCACCGGCCTGGACTCGCAGCCCGTGCACCGGCCTTCAATGGGCTTTTTTTTGCAAAAACTCTGCTTTGTGGTTTGCCTCCACCTCCCCCGGTGCGTACAGAGGAAGTATCATGTTTCCTGTTTCGGAGATTTGGATTTAAAAAAAAAAAAAAAGCAAAATTTTAATATGACTCGTGAGGCCACACCAGGGATGGTGGCAAAACTGAGTCATCCTGAGATAAAGCCGAAACACACCCATCTGTTACTCTCCCAAAACTGGGGGGGTGGGGGGGTGGGGGGCTGGGGGAGGGGGAGGGAGAACCCAGCAATGCAAAGAATTAAAACAGGAATTTCAAGAAAGGGAACTCCTGGGCCAGACCAGCTGGAGAGAGGAATGGGCCCTGGCCGGTTTGGCTCAGTGCATGGAGTTTATCGGCCCAGGGACTGAAGGGTCCCGGGTTCGATTCCCGGTCCAGGGCACATGCCTGGGTTAGGGGCTCCATCCCCAATGTGGGGGGGCGTGCGGGAGGCAGCCGATCCATGATTCTCACTCATCATTGATTGTCTGATTCTCTCTCCCTCTCCCTTCCTCTCTGAAATCAATGAAAAAATATATAATTTTTTTTAATGCCCTGGCCGGTGTGGCTCAGTGGATAGAGCGTCAGCCCTCAGACACAAGGGTCCCGGGTTCGATTCCCGGTCCAGGGCACAGGCCCCGGGGTTGCAGGCTCGACCCCCAATAGGGGGCGTGCAGGAGGCAGCCGATCCATGATTCTCTCTCATCCTGGATGCTTCTCTCTCTCCCCTTCTTCTCTGTAAAAATCAATAAAAAATGCATTAAATATATTAAATATCTCTCTGGCCTCTGAACGAGGCGACGTAGGACCAGGAACACCCAGGGAAGGCCGGCCAGTCTGCAAAGACACATCCTCCCACCCAGTCATCCCCGCAGGCGGGCCCTTCTCCCCGAAAACTGACCCTCGTGATTGGAAAAAAGGGGGTGAAGGGGGAGGAGGAGGAGGAGCTGGATCTCCACGGGGGTGTCCCTGTGTCTCCCCCTGAAGGAAACGTCGGCTGGAAAATCAGACTCAGAGGATCCTGGACGGAACCCAGCCAGGACCCCTCCCTCCAGGGTCGATGGGCCCAAGGGAAGCCACAGGGTCAATTCTTTCCCTAAAATGAGATCAGGGCCTCCGTCCCTGGGGGAGGCGGCCCCGGAGACACCCGGCCACGGAGAGTTTGGTGTTTTTTTTTAAAAAATATATATATTTTTATTGATTTCAGAGAGAGGAAGGGGGGAGGGAGAGAGAGACAGAAACATCCATGACGAGAGGGAAGCATGGGTCGGCCGCCTCCTGCAGGCCCCTCAGTGGGGATCGAACCCACAACCCCGGGCAGGTGCCTTTGACCGGAAATCGAACCCAGGACCCAGCAGTCCGCAGGCCGATGCTCTGTCCACTGAGCCACACCGGCCAGGGTCCCTGAGAGTTTTATAAATTCTGCCACAACCCGGCCGGTGTGGCTCAGTGGTTGAGCGTCCACCTAGGAACCAGGAGGTCCCGGGTTCGATTCCTGGTCAAGGGCTCATGCCTGGGTTGCGGGCTGGATCCCCAGTAGGGGGCGTGCAGGAGGCGGCCGGTCCATGATTCTCTCTCTCCATCGCCCTCTCCCTTCCTGTCTAAAATCAATAAAAATATTTCTTTAATAAAAAGAGAAATGATTTTGTTGGTGGGGCAGTCCCGTGGGATGAGGAAGGACATGTAGGAACGAGAGAGAGAGAGAGAGAGAGAGACGTCCCCCATGAGTCAGGTGTCATTTTTCCAGATGCCTCCTCTCTCGTTCCTGCCATTTCTGGTCCCAGAAGTATGTCCACCGCCCATCTGACCATCCGTCCATCGGACCATCCGACCATCCGTCCATCCGTCCATCCGCCCTCCGCCCATCTGACCATCCGCCTATCCGCCCATCGGACCATCCATCCATCCGACCATCCGCCGATCTGACCATCCGCCTATCCGCCCATCGGACCATCCATCCATCCGTCCATCCGACCATCCGTCCATCCGCCCATCCGTCCATCCGCCCATCCGTCCATCCACCCATCCGCCCATCCGTCCATCCGTCCATCCGCCCATCCGACCATCGGCCCATCCCCCCATCCGCCCATCCAACCGGCCCTGAAACTCCACGCCCGCCCCCTGGCCCCATAAACGAATGGCTGTTTATTACATAATAAACAATCAGGCAGCGGTTAAACTCCTGGAGAAAGTTATCAAACGCCACACCCGGTGGCTCGCCGGCCACCACCTCAAAGTTCCTTTAAAAAGCAGAGCGAGGGGGGGAGGAAGGAAGGAAGGGACGAAGGGGCAGACAATACCCCAACTTTCCTTATTATTTTTTAAAAAATATATTTTGTTGATTTTTTTTTACAGAGAGGAAGGGAGAGGGATAGAGAATCAGAAACATCCATGCGAGAGACACATCGATCAGCTGCCTCCTGCACGCCCCCCACTGGGGATGTGCCCGCAGCCAAGGTCCATGCCCTTGACCGGGAATCGAACCCGGGACCCTTCAGTCCGCGGGGCGACGCCGTACCCACTGAGCCACACCGGCCAGGGCTCCACTCTCCCTTTAAAAAGAAGGGAGGGGGGAAGGGAAGGAGGGAAGGAGGGGCAGACAAGACCCGATCCAGCTTCCATTTTAAAAAGGAGAAAGAAAATCGCAAACTTGGAATTGGCCGGGATGGCGGCGCGGCGGCGGGGGGGGGGGGGGGGGGGGGGGGAGGGAGGCGGGGAAGCGCCTGGTTTCCCTCCTCGGAAAACTTTGCGTTTCCTGAATGCTCTCTCCTTTGCAACATTGTATCCAATGGGACCCTGTCCTGTCTCCCCCCCCCCCCTCCCCCCCGGGAAACCCCGTTTCCGGAATCCTCTCCTTGCAACATTGTATCCAGAGAGGGTCCAATTAGCAACATTGTATCCACCGAGGGCCCGGTGGCAACATTGTATCCATTTGAGGACCCGTTCCGGTCTTTTCTCCGGGAAACCCCGTTTCCGGAATCCTCTCCTTGCAACATTGTATCCACCGAGCCCCCCCGTTGGCAACATTGTATCCGTTGCTTCTCTGTCTCCAGACCAGTGCGCCCCCTCCCCCCGGGCCCCCCTCCACCCGCCACCCCCGCCAGCGCTCGGATCCCGGCGTCCCGGAGACACTCGGCGAGTTTGAGACCGTGTTTCTCCACGTGTTTCTGCCCGTGTCCAGGGCGGACTGTTTGTCTAACCTTCCCCCGCCTCCCGCCCAGCCCGGCTGTCAGGCTCCCGAGCCGCGTCCAAATTTAGGCCGGAGAGGCCGGGCGTGGCTGCGCGCGCGCCCCAGAACAAAGGCGCGCGCTTCGGGGGAGAACCCGGCCCACGCGGGGTGGGAGGGGGGCGCCCCAAAGCGGGTCCCCCCGAACCCCACGGAGTTCGGAAACCGAATTGCACCGCTCCCAGGCCTGGCGACTGACTATTCGGAGCTGGGGATTTTGAGAAAAAAAAGGTGAGGATTCGCGCGGCCCAGGGAAAAAAAAAAGTTGCAGGAAACTCACTCGGCTGCCTCCTCGGGGCGTCGGCCACGCGTGGGCACCCCGAGTCGCTCCCGGCGGCGGCGGAGAGAGCGCAGGGGGCCCCCGTGCGCTCCCCATGAGGGTCCCATCCCACCCCGTGCGCCCCCGTCAACTTCGCGCGCCCCCCCTTCCGTTCCCAGGACCCCTTCGCGCCCGGGCCCGTCCTCAGCGCGCCCACCCACCCCGTGCGCCCCTCCCCAAGACCCTCCCCTACGCGGTGCGCCCCCCAAGACCCTCTCCCACCCCGTGCGCCCTCCGCCTTCCCCTGGGACCTGGTCCCCCCCCACTGGGTCCCCCCAACAGCCCGGCCGCGCGCTCACCTTGGCCGGACACCCGAGCGTCCAGGAGGCCGATCAGCAGCAGCGCGAGGACCGCCCAGCGCGCCATGGTGAGCCCGGTGCGCGCACAAGGCAGGATCCTCAGTCTCCAGGGCGCGGGGCGGCGGTGCCGGGGGACAGACCCCACCCCCCACCCCCGACACACACCCCACCCCGCCCCGCCCCGGCCCAGGGCGGAGCCGGCGGCTGGTGGAGGCGAAGGGGCGCGGCCCTGGCGCCCTGTCCCGTCTGCCCCCGGGGCCCCGCCTGTGGCCGACCGGGTCCCGCTGCTGGGTGCGCGCACGGAGCTGGGGGAGGGGTGGGGGGAGCGGGCCGGGTCTCCCCCTGGATGGCTGAGCCGAGAAAAAGTTGGGGGACCTCTATCTGCTGCGAACGGGGACCCCCGGGTTCCCCCAAAAGTGTCCGGGAGGGACCCGATCCCCATAATTTCTCCTCCAAACCCCGCCCCTCCTTAAGGCGCACCCTGCGCCCTCCACACGCTCCCTGCTCATCAAACTGGGGGGGGGGGGGCCGGGAGGGGACCCCCCTCTTCTCTCCACAGCCCCATCCAAGCTCCAACGGGACCTCCTTCCAGCCCCGTGGGGCCAGGGAGAGCGAGTGAAAGGCTCTATCTTTTGGGGGTAGGTGGGGCGGTCGCCCCCTAACTGCCCTCCCCTGCCGGCCTGATCGCCCCTAACTGCCCTCCCCTTCCGGCCTGATCGCCCCTAACTGCCCTCCCCTGCCAGCCTGATCACCCCCAACTGCTCTCCCCTGCCGGCCTGATCACCCCTAACTGCCCTCCCCTGCTGGCCTGATCGCCCCTAACTGCTCACCCCTGCCGGCCTGATCGCCCCTAACTGCCCTCCCCTGCCGGCCTGATCGCCCCTAACTGCTCTCCCCTGCCGGCCTGGTCAGCCCCTACTGCGCTCCCCCTTCTGGCCTGATTACCCCCCTAACTCTGCTCTCCCCGGCGGCCTGCTGGTCGCCCCTAACTGCGCTCCCCTGATGGCCTGAATCGCCCCTAACCGCCTCGCCCTGCCGGCCCGATAGCCCTAACGCCCGCCCCGGCCGGCCTGATCGCCCCTACCGCTCTCCCCTGCCGGCCTGATCGCCCCTAACTGCTACTGCTCCCCATGCCGACCTGATCGCGCCCTAACTGCCCTCTCCCCGGCCGGCCTGATCGCCCCTAACTGGTGCTCCCCCTGCCGACCTGATCGCCCCTAACTGCTCTCCCCTGCCGGCCTGATCCCCAACTGCTCTCCCCTGCCGGCCTGGTCGCCCCCTAACTGCTCTCCCCTGCCGGCCTGGTCGCCCCTAAATGCTCTCCCCTTCTTGGCCTGATTACCCATAACTGCTCTCCCTTTGCCGGCCTGGTCGCCCCTAACTGCTCTCCCCCTGCTGGCCTGATCGCCCCCAACCGCCCTCCCTGCGGCCCGATCGCCCCCCTAACTGCCCTCCCCTGCCGGCCTGATCGCCCCTAACTGCTCTCTCCCCTGCCGGCCTGATCACCCCCAACTGCTCTCCCCTGCCGGCCTGATCACCCCCAACTGCTCTCCCCTGCCGCCTGATCGCCCCTAACTGCTCTCCCCTGCAGGCCTGATCGCCCCTAACTGCTCTCCCCTGCCGGCCTGATCGCCCCTAACTGCTCTCCCCTGCCGTCCTGATCGCCCCTAACTAAAGTACACACCCACCCCCCCCTCCCTCCCAGATTCCACACTCTGTTCCCGGCTCCCGTGGCTCTGGGTCCTTGCCATCCACCTGTTTATCTTGTTCATAGGATTCCACTGCGACTTTTAACCATTTTTTTAAAAATATATTTTATTGATTTTTTACAGAGAGGAAGGGAGAGGGGACAGAGAGTTAGAAACATCGATGAGAGAGAAACTTCGATCAGCTGCCTCCTGCACTCCCCCCACTGGGGATGAGCCCGCAACCAAGGTCCATGCCCTTGACCGGAATCGAACCCGGGACCCTTCAGTCCGCAGGCCGACGCGCTACCCACTGAGCCACACCGGCCAGGGCTCTTTTTTTTTTTTTTTTTTTTTTTAAGGAAAATGCTCAGCTTCAAATTTCTGCTCGAGTGTCCGCAGTGGGCGCCCAGCCAACATCTCAGGCCGTGAAATCGGCCTGAGTCACCCTCTGGCATCGCACCCGCCGGTCCGAGCCCAGGATCTGCGAGTGATTTGCACTTGGCTGCTCCTCCCGGGGTGACTCAGCCCCCGACAGACACACCCCAACCCCCCGTCCACCTCCCCCGCCCCCCAGTCCCAGCCCTGCTGAGCCAGCAGCTGTCACTCAAGATGGAGGGCGGAAGGGATTGGGGGAGGCGGGCCAGAGGGGGTGGGACACGCAGGCCACGCCCACCTGGGGTGTCTGACAGGCACAGGAGCCGGACAGGGGACAGAGGACAGAATCTAAAAAGGTAGTTTCAGGCCTGGCCGGTGTGGCTCAGTGGGTAGAGCGTCAGCCTGCAGACTGAAGGGTCCTGGGTTCGAATCCGGCCAAGGGCATGGACCTGGGTTGCGGGCACATCCCCAGTGGGCGGCGTGCAGGAGGCAGCTGGTCGATGTTTCTCTCTCATCGATGTTTCTAACTCTCTATTCCTCTCCCTTCCTCCCTGTGAAAAAATCAATAAAATATATTTTAACAAAATATACAGTTGCAGGGAGGAAAACAAGAAGCAACTCTGCCTTTGAAAGTGTTACTTTTATTGATTTTGGATTTATTTTTCTTGATTTCAGAGAGGAAGGGAGAGAGAGAGAAATATCAGGGATGAGAGAGAATCATGGACCGGCTGCCTCCTGCACGCCCCCTACTGGGTACCGAGCCCGCAACCCGGGCATGTGCCCTTGACCGGGAATCGAACCCTTGGCCCTTTGGTTTATGAGGGGATGCTCTAACCACTGATCCACACCGCTGTCCCGTGTTTGGCACGCGTGCCAGGGGTTGCCCACCCCTAATCTATACGCATAAAAGAGTCATATGCTTATTAGACTGGGAGACCTTCCAAACATCCTTCCGGACAAAGCTGGGGGCGTGGCCAGCCTGCAAACCACTCCCATAGGGACCCCAGCCCCTCGCCCAGGCCGGCCACACCCCCCGGGGGTGAACCCCACCCCAATGGGGGTGTGGCCAGCCTGCAAACCACCCCAGCCCCCTGCCCAGGCTGGCCACGCTCCCCAAGGGGCCCCCCACCCTGATCCGGAACCCCCTTCAGGCCAGACCTGCCGGCCCCCACCCATGCACCAGGCCTCTATCTATCCTAAGAAAAGGGTAATATGCTAATTAGACCGGGAGACCTTCCGGACATCCTTCCGGACAAAGCCATGGTGGCTTGGCCGAGGCAGAGGTCGTTAGGGGCGATCAGGCCAGGAGGGGAGGGAAGTTGGGGGGGAGCAGGCCAGCAGGCAGAGTGGTTAGGGGCGATCAGGCAGGCAGGTGAGCAGTTAGGAGCCAGCAGTCCTGGATTGCGAGAGGGATCGGGCCTAAGCCGGCAGTCGGACATCCCCCGAGGGGTCCCGGTTTGGAGAGGGCGCAGGCCGGGCTGAGGGAGACCCCCCCTCTTCTTCTCCTCCCCCCCCAACCCCGTGCATGAATTTCATGCACCGGGCCTCTAGTATGTATATGTATATACATTTTGATGTATTCATGCCTTTCATTTCTCTATTCTGTGTCTTGAAACTCTACTTGCCGTTTTCATCCCTTTCACTTCCTGTCATTATTATGATTATTTTAAACAATTTCTTTTTCTGTCTTTTTTTAATTTATTTTTTAATATATTTATTGGTTTTTCACAGAGAGGAAGGGAGAGGGATAGAGAGAAACATGGATCAGCTGCCTCCTGCACGCCCCCCACTGGGGATGTGCCCACAACCCAGGTACGTGCCCTTGACCGGGAATCGAACCCGGGACCCTTCAGTCCGCCGGCCGAGGCTCTATCCACTGAGCCACACCGGCCAGGGCTGTTTTAAACAATTTCTTAGTGAATTCTTCCTCGGTTTGCCCGCGGCCCCTTCTGTTCTCTTATATTTTCTCGTTCGTGGACGCCGCCGTCTTCTTTGGCAGCGACGGCAGACCAAGGGAGTGGCCTCGTAGGGCCCTTCCGATAGAATAGGAGTTCGCTTTCTGAAGAAGAAGAATTCTGTGTCTCGATGGGGGCGGGGAGGGGGGGGCATCAGGGTTGTAGAGATGCTTAGGGGGTGCCCCGGCCAAGGAAAGTTGGGGAACCACCGATCTACGCAGAAGGAAGAGGAAACTTGCTTGATCTTCGATCTTGGGGACATTTCTGGTGAGTTTTACCACCCACTGGGGAACAGCGAGGACGTCCTTCCGAACGTCCTTCCGGACGTCCTTCCGGACAAAGCCATGGTGGTGGGGCTGAGGCGGAGGCTGTTAGGGGCGACCAGAGAGAGAGAGAGAGAGAGAGAGAGAGAGAGAACGACCCAGGACGCTGTCCCCCCTCCCCCTTACCCCCTCCCTTATCTGATGGGCTATGACTCATCCTCAGAGTCTGTTGTTTTGTTACCACCGTCTCCACGGAGACCTGGGGTTCCCCTAAAAGTGGCTGCTTTTTTGCCACAAAAACAAAAACAAAAAAAATTACACGATGGAGACTCAGAGGATCTGCTCAGCTGCCGTGAAAAAAAAATAATAAACATATTTTTGTTGATTTCAGGGAGGAAGGGAGAGGGAGAGAGAGATGGAAACATCCAGGAGGAGAGAGAACCCTGGACCGGCCGCCTCCCGCACGCCCCCTGCTGGGCAGTTGCGATTTTGTTTGTTGTTTTTATTCAACGAAAGAAATGAAGGTGTGAGGTCAGGGAGTGGACTTATTTTAAGAGTCAGATCATAGATATATTTATTTTTTAACTTATTTGTATGGATTTCAGAGAGGAAGGGAGAGGGAGAGAGAGATGGAAACATCATCGATGATGAGAGAGAACCCTGGACCGGCCGCCTCCTGCACGCCCCCTACTGGTTGGGGATGGAGCCTGCAACCCGGGCCTGTGCCCTTGACTGGGAATCGAACCCAGGACCCTTCAGTCTGCAGGCCGACGCTCTATCCACTGAACCACACCGGCCAGACTGCAAAGCATGTCTTTATGGCAATCGGCCGACTATGAAAGCAGAATCTGAGATCCTCTCAGAGATGTTTGTCTTCTGCAAAGCCGTCCCCCTGAGAGACGATTCTAAGAACATCATCTTCCTTGTTTGTTCTGGGATAAAGTGGCTCTTCAAAGAGCAATTCCCTTTTCTACGTATTTTCTTTTTTTAAAAAAAATATTTTTTCTTGAGTTTTTTACAGAGAGGAAGGGAGAGGGATAGAGAGTTAGAAACATCGATGATGAGAGAGAAACATCGATTGGCTGCCTCCTGCACGCCCCCCACTGGGGATGTGCCCGCAACCAAGGTACATGCCCTTGACCGGACTTGAACCCGGGATCCTTCAGTCCGCAGGCTGACGCTCTGTCCACTGAGCCACACCGGTCAGGGCTGGCCACACAAATTCACAGCAGCTACTGCCAAGCCCAGGCAGCTTGGCCCCAATGCTAGATCCACTTATGGCTGGAAACTGATTAGCATTTTATTTTATTTCCTAGAGGCTCAGTGCACGAAATACATGCACATTGTGTCAGGGGAGGGTTCCCTCAGCCCAGCCTGCACCCTCTCCACTCCGGGACCCCTCGGGGGATGTCCGACTGCCGGTTTAGGCCCAATCCGTCTCACAATCCAGGACTGCTGGCTCCTAATCGCTGGACTGCCTGCCTGATCGCCCCTAACTGCTCCCCTGCTGGCCTGATCACCCCCTAACTGTACTGACCACCAGGGGTCAGACACTCCCACCGGTAGGTTCGCTTGCTGCTGGGGTCCGGCCGATCAGGACTGAGTGAGACGGCCGGACACACCCTGGAGCCCTCCCTCGGTCCCAGCCGGTCTGGCCAACCTCCCGCGTCCCTCCCCGGCCCCGATCGTGCACCCGTGGGGTCCGTCGGCTTGGCCTGCACCCTCTCGCAATCCGGGACCCCTCAGGGGATGTCAGAAAGCCGGTTTCAGCCCGATCCCGCAGGCCAGGCCGAGGGACCCCACTGGTGCACGAATTCGCGCACCCGGCCTCTGGTTTATGTATTTTTTTAAAAAATCAATTTCCCGTTTGGTCAGGGCCAAAAGCTTGGCTTCTCAAGGACACACCCAAAACCCAGACGACTCCTGGGAAGGAGGCCATGTAATCCCGGCCGCCCGTGAGCCAGAAATATCCCCAAAGGGCCTGGGGTTCTTCAATGGGGCTTCCTACCCCGCACACAGCTCCTCCCTCCATTGCATTCTTTCCTCCGGGTCCAGCGAGCGGCCGGACACAGGGACCCTTGTGTAAGGCCTGGTGTGTGTGGCTCCGTCTCCCGCGTGGGAAGCCGGCCGGGCCCAACCGCCTCCAGAATATTTCCATTTTTTCGAAAGGCATTCAGATTCTTGCTCGTTGCCCGTCTGCAAATAGAGGGTGTCCCAAAATTCACGCAAGAAGTCATTCTGACAGAAAGCACAGGTTTATAACTAAAAATTGTAAACTTTTTCTTGATTCATAAAGGACACAGTCTAGGGTTATGTATGGTATAGCACATCGGGTCACTGGCCTCCCCGGCTTTGCTGGCACAGACGCAAAGCCGCGGTCTTCATTGGTCTTCCTTGTCCCTGCTCCTGGGCCGTCATTGGTCCTTGGTGATGCTTATCGAATCGAAGGGATTGACATCTAAGGGCAACAGATATTAGAATCGGATTCAATAAACCGACTCAAATTAGGCTTTTATTTTTTGTTGTTGTTGTTGTCAATGGTCATGCAAAATTCAAATCTTGCGTGAATTTTGGGACACCCTATACATATATACACATATATACACATATACATATGTATACACATATATACATATATACATACATGTATTCATACATATATACACTGAGTGGCCAGATGATGATGACCACCCCAGTCAGTACAATGAAGCGAATTAGTTATGCAAATAATTAATAATAATGATAATAATAATAAACCTTGAGAGTATTTGCTTAGGACCATGGTCGGCAAACCCCGGCTCGCGAGCCACATGCGGCTCTTTGGCCCGTTGAGTGTGGCTCTTCCTAAGCCCTAGGCGTACCCTCATTACGTGAATAACAATGTACCTGCCTATATAGTTTAAGTTTAAAAAATTCGGCTCTCCAAAGAGATTTCAGTCGTCGTCCTGTTGATATTTGGCTCCGTTGACTCATGAGTTTGCCGACCACTGGCTGCCTTAGGGAGTTTTCAATATTCAGTGATTTTGGACGTGTCCATGAATGACCGATGGGTTGGCCATCGTGAGCTGGCCACTCAGGGTAAATCTTATTCTTCAAAAAGCGAACTCCTATTCACGCGGAGGAAGATTAAAAGGCCAGGAACTCGGTCTCCAGAAGCTTCCCAAGAACATGGCATCCAGGAAAGAGAGAAAAAAAAGATCCGAAGGACGGTGGGCGTAATGGGGAAGAAATCATTACGAAATTGTTAATAATAATAATAATAATAATAGTAATATGCCCTGGCTGGTGTGGCTCAGTGGATAGAGCGCCGGCCTGCGGACGGAAGGGTCCTGGGTTCGATTCCGGTCAAGGGCATGTACCTGGGTTGCGGGCACATCCCCAGTGGGGGGCGTGCAGGAGGCAGCTGATCGATGTTTCTCTCTCATCGATGTTTCTAGCTCTCTAGCCCTCCCCCTTCCTCTCGGTAAAAAATGAATAAAATGTATTTAAAAAAATAAAATAAAATATATTTTAATAATAATAATATGAAGGGATAAGAAAAAATCGCCAATGAAGACTCAAAACACAGAACAGAGAAGTGCGATGCATAAATACGTCACCATATCTGTTAATCTGCCTTAGATGAGGCCCCTAGAGCCATCACAAATGCAAAAAAAAATTCACTGTTAAGGCATGCTCTTTTTTTTACATTATTATTTACTTATTTCAGAGGAAAAGGGAGAGGGAGAGAGAGAAACATCCATGACGAGAGAGAATCATGGACCGGCTGCCTCCTGCACGGCCCCTACTGGTTGGGGATCGAGCCCGCAACCCGGGCCTGTGCCCTTGACCGGGAATCGAACCTGGGACCCTTCATTCCGCAGGCTGACGGTCTACCCACTGAACCACACCGGCCAGGGCTGTTCACTCGTTCTTGGGAACCACTGCCATAGAAGGAAGTGGCATTCATGTCTCCAAAAGGGGGTGGAAGAACGTTCTGGGCGCAGGAATTAGCACGTGCAAAGGTCCTGGGGTCAACGGGACGAGGGTGCCTGTGTGAGGGGAGGGTGGGGGGTGGAGTAGGGTGAACCCCATTCAGTCACTCCCCAAGTCTGAAAATGCCCCTTTGTCCCCAGAGAGCCATCTTTGCTTTTCTTTCTGTTTTTAAAAAGGCAGAATTATCCTTCCTTCCTCATTGACTTATTTATCTGTTTATTTTTTCACTAGAGGCGCGGTGCACGAATTCGTGCACAGGTGCGAGGGGGGGAGGAGGGGGCTGGCCGGCCGCCGGAGGAAGGAACCACGGGAGGGTCAGCAGGAGGTTGGCTGTGAGACCACACTGACCACCAGGGGGCAGCTCCTGTGTTGAGCGTCCACCCCCCCTGGTGGTCAGTGTGCGTCATAGCGACCGGTCGACCGGTCTTTCGGTTGCTTAGATTTTTATATATATGGAAGACTGAGGGATAATTTATTGCTATTATTATTATTATTATTATTTAATCCTTACCTGAGGATATTTTTATTTAATATATTTTTACTGATTTCAGAGAGCGAGAGAAAGATCTACGAGGAGAGAGAATCATGGACCGGCCGCCTCTTGCACGCCCCCCACTGGGGATGGAGCCCGCAACCCGGGCCTGTGCCCTTGACCGGGAATCGAACCCTGACCTCCCGGTTCCTAGGCCGACGCCAACCACTGAGCCACCCTGGCCGGACCGTGAAATCTCCTTTTGTCCGCCGTTCCTGGCCAACCGCCCGATGCCATCGTATTCTTCGCCGGGATGAAGAATGAGCCGCTCCGAACGCAAAGGGCCCGGTGGTTGACACCGAACATGAATCTCACCACTTAGGGAATAATTCAGTTGCATAATTTAAACAGCAAAACGCAATCCATCGTCCGCCCTCCGCTGGCCAAGGGCCGGCGAAGCCACTGTCCCCTCCTGGGACCCCAATCGGTAACCCGTTGGCGTTTGTCATGGAGCAGAAATAAACACCATATTTTTCTGGGGCTAATGAGACATCAGGCGTCTCTTTATCTTTTTAATAAGAAATAATAACTTTAAAAAGAGGGGGAACTTTTGCTGCCTCAGGGGAAACACTTATGAGAAACACAACCTCATGAAGAATCAGATTTCCTTTTTAATTCTTCTTCCCGGAAGCCCTGGCACATTAAATATTTAAAGCCAGGCCCGCCCGGCCAGTGCGGCTCAGTGGTTGGGCGCCGACCCTTTGAACCAGGAGGTCACGGTTCGATTTCCAATCAGGACACATGCCCGGGTTGGGGGTGGGGGGGGTCTCGGTCCCCACTAGGGGGCGTGCAGGAGGCCAGGGTTTTGGAGGAAGATTTGAGGCTTCCAAGTATAATTGCGATCCCCCCTCGTTACCCCCGCGAAGGGAATCACCACCCCCATCTCATTTCCTGTCTGAGCGGATGAGCCATTTTTGGACGGAATCCTATGGGATAAAAAGCCTAATATGCTAATGGTCCCGTCGGCCGGTCGGCCGGTCAACCAATCAAAGCGTAATATGCTAATGATATGCTAAGGCCGCTCAACTGCTCGCTGTGACGAGCACTGACCACCAGGGGGCAGACAGTCGACGGGTCGACCAGTCGCTGTGACGAGCACTGACCACCAGGGGGCAGACAGTCGACGGGTCGACCAGTCGCTATGACGTGCACTGACTACCAGGGGGCAGACAGTCGACGGGTCTACCAGTCGCTGTGACGTGCACTGACCACCAGGGGGCAGACAGTCGGCTGGTCGACCAGTCGCTGTGACGTGCACTGACCACCAGGGGGCAGACAGTCGGCTGGTCGACCAGTCGCTGTGACGTGCACTGACCACCAGGGGGCAGACAGTCGGCTGGTCGACCAGTCGCTATGACGTGCACTGACCACCAGGGGCAGACAGTCGGCTGGTCTACCAGTCGCTGTGACGTGCACTGACCACCAGGGGGCAGACAGTCGGCTGGTCGACCAGTCGCTATGACGTGCACTGACCACCAGGGGCAGACAGTCGGCTGGTCGACCAGTCGCTGTGACGTGCACTGACCACCAGGGGCAGACAGTCGGCTGGTCGACCAGTCGCTATGACGTGCACTGACCACCAGGGGGCAGACAGTCGACTGGTCTACCAGTCGCTGTGACGTGCACTGACCACCAGGGGGCAGACAGTCGACGGGTCAACCAGTCGCTGTGACGTGCACCGACCACCAGGGGACAGACGCTCTGACAGGCAGGTTAACTTGCTGCTGGGGTCCGGCCGATCGGGACTGAGCAAGATGGACTGGACACACCCTGGTGCCCTTCCCGCTCCCGATCGTGCACCCGTGGGGTTCCTCGGCATGGCCTGCACCCCCTTACAATCCGGGACCCCACGGGGGATGTCAGAGAGCCGGTTTCGGCCTGATCCCCGCAGGCCAGGCCAAGGGACCCCACTGGTGCACGAATTCGTGCACTGGGCCTCTAGCATGCATATAAGATCTTTGGTTGATCTCTTCTCGCCTCCCCCCTCCTGCTTCCCTCTGAGATTCATCCGTCTCTTCCATGTTCCCATGCCTGTGGTTTCCGCTCCTGCGTTGAGCGTCTGCCCCCTGGTGGTCAGCTCACGTCATAGCTAGCGATCGTACTACCGGTCCCCCGGTCGAACTCCTGAGGGGACCCTTTGCATATTAGCCTTTCATATATAGACTAGAGGCCCGGTGCACAAAATTCATGCATTGAGGGGGGGGTGGTTTCTGAGCTCAGCTTGCACCCTCTCCAATCAGGGACCCCTCGGGGGATGTCCGACTGCTGGTTTAGGCCCCATCCTTCTAGCAATCTGGGACCACTGGCTCCTAATAGCTCCACTGCCTGCCTGCCTGCCTGATCGCCCCTAATCACCCCCCTCACTGGTCCCCTGACGGCCTCATCGCCCCCTAACTGTCCCCCCTGCAGGCCTGATTGCCCCTAACCACCTCTGCCTCAGCCCCTGCCCCAACGGCTTTGTCCGGAAGGAAGTCGGACATCCGGAAGATGTCCGGTCGACTTGGTCTAATTAGCATATGGCCCTTTTATTAGTATGGATATAGACCGTTGTTGTTAATCCTCACCCAAGGGTCCTTTTCCATTGATTTTTAGAGAGCGTGGAAGGTGGGGAAGGAGAGACAGAGAGAAACATCGATGAGAGGCAGAGACATTGATTGGCGGCCTCCTGCACGCACCCCTGACTGGGGCCCCGGGAACCTACAACCACGCTACCCACCCTTCACCTGAATCGAACCCGGGCCCTTTCAGTCCGCGGGCGGACGCTCTACCCGCTGAGCCACACCGGCTAGAGCCGTATATTCCTATTCATTTCAGAGAGAGGGAGAGAGAGAGAGAAACATCCATGATGAGAGAGAACCATGGACCGGCTGCCTCCCGCAAGCCCCCTACTGGGAATGGAGCCCGCAACCCGGGCCTGTGCCCTTGACCGGGAATTGAACCCGGGACCTCCTGGTTCCCAGGTCGATCGATGCCCAACCACTGAGCCATACCAGCCGGGTTTCTCTCTGTTCTTTTAAGTCCCCATCATATCGACCCAACATCTAAAGGGCGTCCCAAAATGCACGCAAGAAGTAATTTTGATGGAAAACACAGGTTTATAATGAAAAATTGTAATTTTTTTATTGATTCATAAAGGACACAGTCTAGGGTTTATGGATGGAATAGCACCTTGGGTCCATGGCCTCCACAGCTTTGCTTACACAGATGCAAAGCCGCGGTCTTCGTTGGTCTTCCTGGTCCCTGCTCCTGGGCCATCATTGGTACTTGGTGATGCTGATCCAATCGAAGGGATTGACATCTAAGGGCAACAGATATGAGAATCTGATCCAATCAACTGGTTCAATAAACGGAGTCAAATCAGGCTTTTATGTTTTGTTGCTGCTGTTATTCATGTTCACGCCAAACTCAAATCTTGCGTGAATTTTGGGACACCCTCTCGTTTCCTGTGGGAGACCCTTCACGGTGGCGTCTCCTCAATCAGCGACCCCCATGACCCAAAAGCCACCGGAACCAGCACCATGTTCCGACCCAAAGGGAGACCCGGTGGCCACTCAGCCCAGAGCATCCCACCTGCCCAGACCCAGGTGAGCACCATCTGACCCCTTTTGACCTTGAGCAAAGCTACCTGGCAGGCGGCCTCTACCGCCATGCGCCACCAGGTGGCGCCAACACACAAGGAAAATCCAGGCGAGCCTTTGCAGCCCGCAAAGGGATTTTTTTTTAAAAAAATAAGAATTGCAATTAAGCCCTGGCCCGTGTGGCTCAGTGGATAGAGCGTCGGCCTGCGGACTGAGGGGTCCCGGGTTCGATTCCGGTCAAGGGCATGGACCTTGGTTGCGGGCACATCCCCAGCAGGCGGCGAGCAGGAGGCAGCTGGTCGATGCTTCTCTCTCATCGATGTTTCTGACGCTCTGTCCCTCTGTTAAAAAATCAATAAAATATATTTTAAAAAAATATAAAATAAAATAAAAAATAAGAATTTCAATTTGAGCCCTGGCTGGTGTGGCTCAGTGGGTAGAGCGTCGGCCTGCGGACTGAAGGGTCCCGGGTTCGATTCCCGGTCAGGGGCATGTACCTTGGTTGCGGGCACATCCCCAGTGGGGGGCGTGCAGGAGGCAGCTGATCGATGTTTCTCTCTCATCGATGTTTCTAACTCTCTGTCCCTCTCCCTTCCTCTCTGTAAAAAAATCAATAAAATATATTTTAAAAAAAAATCCACCAGGAATGAAAGAATGAATTGTCTCCAACCCACAGGCACTCTTTATTATTATTATTATTATTTATTATTATTATTAATTATTATTTTGGGTGCCCTCGTCCGGAATCGAACCCAGGACCCTTCAGTCTGCAGGCCGACGCCCTATCCACTGAGTCACACCGGTCAGGGCCCACAGACACGCTCTCAAATACACACACAGAACAGAACGTCCCTGGACAGGGTGTCTCCGTGGACCGGAAGTCCGGCTTCCGGTGAGCAGCCACAGCTGCTACAATGTATCAGCCGAGATGCCCACTGGATACTTTGTTTCCCAATAGACTCACTGGCGCCCCTAAACCAGCGACGGCGAACCTGTGACACGCGTGTCAGGGGGGACACGCCAACGCATTTCTTTCTTGGTTGATTTTTCTTTGTTCAATGGCATTGAAATGTATAAAATAAAGATCAGAAATATAAATCTTCCCTGACCGGTGTGGCTCAGTGGATAGAGCGCCGGCCTGCAGACTGAAGGGTCCTGGGTTCGATTCCTGCCAAGGGCATGGACCTTGGTTGCCGGCACATCCCCAGTGGGGGGCGTTCAGGAGGCAACTGATCGATGCTTCTCTCTCATCGATGTTTCTGACTCTCTATCCCTCTCCCTTCCTCTCTGTGAAAAAAATCAGGAAAATATGTATTTTTAAAAATATATGTTTAGAAAAATTAAAAAAAAATGTGATTACGCAATAAAAAAATAAAAATAAAAATATTAAAAATTAATAAAATAAAATAAAATAAATAAAATAATAAAATAAAATAAAATAAAATAAAATAAAGAAATGTGAAATCCCCAGAAAGGCTGACCGAGTCTCAAGGGTCTTACTGCGGGGGGAGTTTCTGGGGAGACGGGACCCCGAGACTCGCCATCCGGCCTAGGAGGGCCGAGCTTGGGAGCATTTGGGCCAGCGCCCTGTGATTTGAAAATACATTTTTTTCTGCGTCCCAGAGGCAATTCCTCGAGGCCAGGCAGTCAAAGACGCCATCCAAGGGTCACGGGAAGAGGCTCAAATCGCCTAACAGAAAACGCTGGGCCTTTGCCAAGATTCTCCAAAGACCCGGTCGCTGCGCCCTGGCCGGGGTGGCTCAGTGGGTAGAGCGTCAGGCTGGGGACTCAAGGGTCCCGGGTTCGAATCTGGACCAAAAAAATGAAATAAATAAGGAAAGAAGGAAATAAAATAAACTATGAATGGATGTTAAAAATATCCTTGGGGAAGGATTAACAAAAAAAAAAAAAACCC